TTAGCTATATTAGTAAGTTCTATGATCCACTAGGGTTAATCGGTCCAATTTTTGTTCGTGCAAAGGTAATCATGCAGAAACTGTGGGCTTCTAATACAGATTGGGACTCTCCTCCCCCACAAGACATACGTCAGATGTGGATAGAATTTGTTAGGGACTTGTCACAGATTTATAAGTGTTCCTCGATGAGCCATAGCTAATAATTGTGAAGTCATTCAATTATTAGGCTTTGCCGACGCATCCTCAGTTGCATATGGCTGCTGCTTGTATTTGCGTTCTACTGACACACAAGGCAATGTACACATACAATTGTTATGTTCGAAATCTGGAATTAATCCATTAAATAAAAGGCTTACTACTCCCAGGCTAGAATTAAATGCAGTCTTGCTTCTTACGAAATTAACTGTAAAGGTACTCAATGCATTAAGTGCCAATAATATAAAATGTGATAATACTTACCTATTTTCAGACTCACAAATAGTTTTAGCATGGCTCAAAATAGATTCTATTCGAAACTACAGTTTATGTCGCGAATAGAGTAAGAGTAATAACAGAGCTCTCTCATAATTATCACTGGTTATATGTAAATACTGATGAGAATCCTGCAGATTGTCTCAGTAGAGGCCTTCATCCTAATGAACTTAAGGCTAATAACATGTGGTTGTATGGCCCATCCTTCTTACATGATAAAGATTATAAATTTTATTTGAAGTCAGAGATAGTGACACAATTACCCGAACTTAAACAAAACATTACAAGGGCAGTATGTGTCAAAGTAACAGCCATTGATTGTGTTTTATATGAAAAGTTAAAGAAATTTTCCAGTATTAATAAAATTACTCGTGTACTTGCCTATATGCTTAGATTTTGTACAAATATTAATCGTAACAAAATTAAAGGATTTTTATCAACCAAAGAGCTAAATAAAGCACTAATGTTAATTATAAATAATGAACAACACACATACTATGCGAGTGATATTAAATCTTTACAAGTTCACAATCGAGTAGATAGCAATTTAAAACCTCTGACACCTTTCATAGATAAAGATGGCATTATAAGAGTAGGCAGACGTTTACAAAACGCATCAATCCCCTACTCTAGCCAACATCCTGCCATATTGCCAAAGGAATCAGTGATAACAGCCTTTTTAATTAAAGATGAACACTTTAAGCATGCCAGTCAAAAACTATTAAGCTCTATTAGGCAGAGATTTTGGATCATTGATGGTCTAAGAACAATAAAAAAAATTATTCACAAACGTGTAACCTGTTGCAGATTGAAAGCCGCTGCTGCAGCTCAGCTGATGGGTTCCTTGCCTACGCAACGCGTAAACGCGTGCCGCGTCTTTGAAAAAATTGGTATTGATTTCGCTGGGCCAGTTTCGGTAAAAATAGCCGCATTCGGAGGCCAACTATAGGCAAAGGTTACATTGTATTGTTTGTATGTTTCGTCACTAAAGCTATTCATCTAGAGTTAGCCTCAGATTTGACAACCGATACTTTTCTCGCATGCTTTAAACGATTAATTGCGAGACGAAACCTGCCCAGCGACGTCCACTGCGATAACGGCTCGACGTTCAAAGGGGCAAGGAACCAATTAGATGAACTGTATCGCTTACACGCTTCTCGAAGTCACCAAAGCGAAGTACAATCCTTCGCGGCTGCTAGAGGAATCAATTTCCACTTTATACCTAGTTACAGCCCGATATTTGGTGGACTTTGGGAAAGCGGTGTAAAAAGCGTGAAATATCACTTGAAACGTGTAGTAGGCAAGGCGTTACTCACGTATGAGCAACTCAATACTGTTCTCGTGGAAATAGAGGGCGTTCTTAATTCTAGACCGCTCACCGCAGTTACTGCCGACCCAAATGACCTCAATTACCTCTCTCCAGGTCATTTTCTGACGGGAGCACCTCTTAATTCTTATCCAGAACACAATATGTCAGATACACCTACTAACTTACTTAAATTTTGGTCTATAACCGTAAGTATGAAACAAATCTTTTGGAAATATTGGAGTAAACATTATCTGTGTCTTTTACAAAGCAGGCCCAAATGGCGTGACGTTTCTTCTAACGTAAAATTTGGTAGCTTAGTTATATTACGTAGTGATAATAGTCCTCCTTTGCATTGGCCTATTGCTCGTGTGTCCAATATCTTTCCAGGGAAAGATGGCCAAGTTAGAACTGTCGAAGTTACTCTTTCAAACGGTCATGTTCACAATAGGGCATTATCAAAAATATGTTTGCTACCTATCGATTCATAAAAGAGTTTGATTCTAAAATGTATAATTTTAGTATTTAAGTATTCTTATGTCTACACAACCTATGTTGTAAAATTTATGCTGTATTTGTCATTAATACATACCACAAAAATGTTTCATTCTAAAATGCATAAATTTAATATTTACTCTTCACAACCCATGTTGTTGAATTTATGCAGTATTTGTTATTAATACAAACCTTCATATGCTGTTTACTTGCAAAGGTACTTTTATAAGTGCAAAGTCTTTATTTATCGACTTAAGGTCCTCTTACAAATATAAATTTAAGCATTTACCTGTTGAAACCTAGATTTAGCTGTTCTTTTGAAACAATTGTATAATTGATCTTCTACTGTTTTATTACTTTGCCAAGGCAATAGATTTCCTAATTATGTTAAAGCCGAAAATGAATATGTTAACCAAATACCCATAATGTAAGATTTGTCAATTAGATTTTAAATTGTTCATTTTGAGGGCGCAGCTTATGTTGGCAACATAATGTAATATTTGTAGTCTATAATTCAATTGATACAGTTTTTGTTATCTGTAATTTTTCTTCCTATCTATGTCTATGGATTTTTAACTTCTTCCGCTTCCACTGTGATACATTGGAATGTGTGCTCAAATAAAGTGGTGCAATAATTAATGAAAATTAAGTGTTTTTACTATGCCTGTCACCTCACCTGGAATCAATCAATCTACAGTTCACGCTCTGCAGCTAGGAATAAACGTGTGTTGGGTAACTAATCATACTAGTGCCCTTCACAGCCACTTATTAATCATACCTCATTATTACAATAATGGATCTAAGTTTTTATTTATTTATGTATATTATTTACAAGTTGAGTTCTACTCAAAACGTTTAGCTTTGGGGATTTCGGCAATCTTCAGGCTTGTTTGTTTTAGTTCACAGCTGAATATCTTATATAGCAATATCTTGGATATTGGTATGAGTATAATATACAAATACTTAGTCTAACTTTATTCAAAAAACAAAAATGTCGGTACAGTGAGACTTCAAATAAAAAAAATACAAGAAATACATAGTACAGGCTCATGACCGCATGTCACGTCCCACTTCATGTCCGGTTTGTGGTTCCCTCGGAAAAGTTCCCTTTACGCCTATTAAGCGTTTACATTTTCACATTTTCGCTTTAATTGTACTAAAACGAAGCCGGGCATTGCATGTATAAAAATAAATGAAATGCCGAAGTCACGTGCAATAACGCAATTAATAAATGAGTGAAGTTACTATTTCTATTAGCTGTATGCTAATGTTCTTTTAAATTAAGTAATAAATTAACGAAGATTGATGCCAATGTAGAAGAAAGCCATCAACCTTGAAGGTCTTTAGTAACTAAACAATATACAACATATTGGTTTGTGGTCACAATGGGATCATTTTACAAAGGACAAGCCGCCGCCCGCGATTATATTCGCATCTCAAAATATAGGCTCACCAATTTCTGCTTCCGAACTTAACAAAATCGCAGTTGAGGTTTTTTAGAGCCCTAAAAACAATGTCGTTTAAATACGAAAGATTAAATACGCTTTCAAAAGAAAACCTGAAATCCATTGAAATTATACTTGTTAAACACATTGAGTCGATAGTAAATTTGGAGTAACGAATAGAAGTTAATTTTCTTTTTTTATATATGACGTCTTATACTATTGTTAAGAGCTAGGGGATCGGATAGAAAATGCCGTAGATCTCTACAAGGATTAATTTTTAACTAAATCTACGAGGAATTTGTTTACACAAAAACCGAAATTACGTACTCAAATTCTCTAATTACACAAACACAAAATACTGTCACTAATTACTTTAATTACGCGCACTTCACACAGTACTTTATCACTTGTCTTCACTTTATTCGCACTTTATCTCTTCGGTGTTTAATGTTTATCTCTTGAAATCGCATTCGAAACTAAACTAACTGGTCGCGTTTCGGCTCGCTTATACATATATCCCTGGAAATAATCATGAACGATGTTCGAGAACTCTCTAGGCAGGAGCGCTACTGAGTAGCGATCGCACAATTCTAGAACGTACGTTTTCTCTATCTCTTTCGCACATTGCTCCGTCCTTGTCGTACGGCGTGCTAGAGTGCTCGGTCTAGCTCCGAAAAGGTTCCGATCTTCCCACTCTCTCGCGTAACATTCCATCCTTGTCCCACACCAAGAATATTCGGTCTAGAATATTCCTTCATCAAAGGGTATAACGTATAGTATAACTAGGCCTGAAAACGCCTGAAAACGGATTTCCTGAAAACTGTACCACTCGACTATACATGTTCTGAATCTGCCTGAAAAACGGTTTCAGCTGAAAAGTTCTCTTACTAGTGGAAACATCGATAAACATTTCAGTCAACCCGTCTTCATAACACAATTATTTTTATTTCTTGTTTCAAAACTATAGTATATTAGACATTATGTTAAAACACTATCATATGGCTAGGGGGCTTCGGACCAAAACTCATTTATTCCGAGCAATTTTGCTGACCTTTGTTTCATAAAAATCATATTTATTATTTGCGCTGATGGCTTGATAATAATTAAGTCAATTGTTTGTCAGTCGATAACAAAAAGTAATTTAAATATTATTGTAGTTTTTTGGTAAATTTAATTTAAAGATATATTGTTTTAATACTTTATTCCTAAAAAATTGATTACATTGCGTATATAAAAAGAAAGGCATATGAAAAATTGTATTCACTACAGAAGTATCATTGATGATGGGCGTCTCAAAGATATCTTTTATCCTACTGTTAGTCGCATGTAGCGTTCAGGGTAAGTTTTATTATATTCTTATTTATCAAGCTTTTTTAATTAATTTACAAATTAAATACAGAACCGTTTATTGTAGGCAATGCTGAAGCTCTCGCCTCTAAGACTGGAGGGCAAGAGCCCGAGACCCGAGTGGTGGGTGGCAAAGACGCACCCGAAGGCCTTGTGCCACACCAAGTCGCATTAAAAACAAAAAACAACTGGACTTTCTGCGGTGCTGCTGTCATCTCCGACAGATGGATACTGACTGCTGCCCATTGTGTGGAAGGGTAATAAAACATATTAATGTTAACTGAGCCCATCTAAGAGTATACGATGCGGCCGTTTTCTGTCTTATCTATTAAAATGATATGTAATAAGTTTGGATTTTTTTTTCAGTCGCCAACCATCAGAGTTTACCGTTGTAGTTGGTACATTATCGAGAACGAAAGGTGGTACAACGTATGAAATAAGCAAAGTCATTACTCACAAAGAATATAAAAAGCCAGATAGGTTCAAAAACGATATTGCTGTTATAAGTACGAAAAAGGCCATCGAATTCAATAAAAACGTTCAGCCCCTGCCACTACCAAAAAAGGATATCACGGCTGGATTGTCGTGTATTCTGAGCGGCTGGGGTAAACTTGTAAGTAAATTTTTTTGCGGAGATACAGATTTGTAGAAATTGATATTATAGAAACAATTGTTACCGGGGAACTTATGTTTTTAAATCAAAATTGAATTCATAGGTAACTTGTATACTTTTAGGGCCGTAACCGATCATCGCCTGACAAATTGCAGTATCTGTATGTAAAAACTTTAACCGGCGACGAGTGTAATAAGTACTTCAAAGGACGCTCCCCAGTCACTATAAATTCCAGCCAGATGTGTACCCTTAACAAAGGTGGAGAAGGAACATGCCAAGTGAGTATATATTTGAAGAGCGCGTCACGATTTTTGTAAATAAGCACGAATCATTGAGAGCTGAATAATTTTGCAACTAATCTGTTTCAACGGTATACGAGGGGTGCAGCTTAATAAAGCTTACTGTTTTTGAGCTTCGTAACACTAACTTTTTATTTTTTCATGAATTATTCAACAATAGCGACATTTGAATTATTTAAATTGTCTGCGTGCAAGGTACAATGTAATCGGATATTTTCAGGGTGATTCAGGCGGCAGTTTAGTGTGCAATGGCACCTCAGCCGGTATCGTGTCCTTCAACTGGCCCTGCGCTAATAATTTCCCTGACGCGTACGCCAACACGTACTATTACAACTCCTGGATAGAAGAAAATACTAAATCACCCTAAGTATTGTCATTTATAAATATTATAAATTTTGTCGCAAAAATTATGAAGCGTTTTTTATTTAATTAAAGGCAGCTCCCAGGCTCTGGACTGGACTTCTCTAGTTTATTTAAAGGAATACCTTAACAAAATTATTTTAATATAATACAAGGAGGAGGAAGAGGATGACGTGTAGGATAAAGACGAGGTCTTTCCATGAATGCAAAAAAATATATAATGATCGAGAAAAGCAATTTAAAAAAATGCGAATTGAATTAAATACAATTTTAGCTAATTTTTAAAATTCATGAATTTGAAACACCTTAGACCACCTGACCAACATAGGTCAAAAAGTCGATCTCGATCTCTTCCACACTCACCGTGAACTTCTCAAATGTTAGGGGGCTCAACTTCAACATCCACGCTGTCCACTACCATTTAGATACTGCAAAGCCGGCCTTGCTCTTTTTGACCGAGACTCAGATATCCTCCCCGGCTGATACTTCCTACCTCTCCTACCCGGGGTACAAATTGGAAAATTCATTTGTGCCGCGGGCGTGTACGTCAGAGAGGATATCTGTTCTCGTCGCCTCGGGACGCTTGTAGGAACGGAAATAATATTCAGGCAACGCGATGTCAGCAAAGCATCCCCCTAATTGTGCTGCGTACTTGTGTCCCCGAGTTGGCTCCGGTCTTAACGCCCCTTTTCCGGTACCTGTACTCGCTCGGCACTGTCCCGAAGTGCTGGAAGACCGCCTCAATAAAATCCCTAAAAAAGGCGATCGCTCTTATCCGTCGGTAGTGTTCTTCAATCGTGAAATTTTTTCATCGGTTAAGAGGATATTTCTGTCACGACAGTAGGCGTTTTGACCGAACTACTTTAATTTATTGTAAAAAATGATTTAGGGCATGTCCTGTATATCGACGAAAAGCACCGAGCCTTAGCACAGGTCTTGTTTTATAATACGCGACAGTGTCATACCGAGAATATTCATTTCTCGCGATAAGATTTTTTGCTTCCTAATGGAGTTTCGACGAATTCTGGCTTTAACAGCATAAATAACCTTTGTAGTTCTAACAACACAAAATATGTAGAAACAATAAAACCGTCGCAACAACAACAACCGGCTAAACTGCACGAAAATGTCTGTTTTCTATCAAAGTTCCTTTATGTTCATCTATTGAAATTAAACGATGAATAATTAAAAAAAAAATTCGTACACAAAAATAAAATAGAGAGCGAATTCTATTCTATATTATAGTGCTAAATCAAAACTTATTCTTTTAAATTCGAGAATACAAAATTAATTGATAAAATATACTTTAAATAATGCAGATCAACTCCTTAGAGGCAAATTCCATTTCCATTGTAGCTTGATTTTTCGAAAGACGAAGCGATCCTAATAGCGTCAGGCATTTTATTATTTTTATTTTTTACAATAAAAAATATATCTATAATATTTTGTACATATTTTTGAATCTGTTTTTATCTGAAATATTGTAGCCTTAAAAATCGTTTGATTAGTATGGTAAATTAGAATTTCCTTTTTTTTTTTTATCTTGCATCATATATGTAACCATAGATTGGTAACATTATGAACGTCAATAAAAAATTGAATACTTTACGCCACTCGGTGTGGCATAATATTACAAATCGTCTGAAGTCGAGAGCTCGCATGAGTTCTGTCGCTGAGCACTGCTTTCGGGGATTCATTAAAAGTTATCAAACTACGCTAAATTCGTTTCATGTCTGTATTTTCTCAGGTTTACAATCAGTTTGCAGACCTAATTAACCTACATTTTTGTACTTTTTCGGGAACATAATTATATCAATATTATTAATTCTCTCCCGCATAGAGGTAAGGCTTAAATCATTAATGTTACAATTATTATCTACATACGCACCCCAAGCACTATTATCATTAAAATATTCATAAACATTATAATTAAATGAGTTTTACTAGTTTTATTTCCATTTGTTTAGTAAGAGTGCATTTATGTTGCTAATATTTATTCCCCTGCTGGATATCCCCTGCCATTGTGTCCAGGGACTTTTTCTATCTCTAAAATTATTACAATAAAACATGATACATTATATAAATTACAATAATCTACTTCACAAATGGTGTGTTACGCGTCTCGCGAAATACTCTCTCGCGAAAATCTCGTGTATATGATGATTGGTAGATATTATATTTTCTTACGAAAAGTATAAACAATCAAATTTGAAATTTGGCAGTCATAGATATAAATTCTTTAAACTTTATTAACGGATATGAATAAACTTCATGTATAAAACTCGGCGTAATGCAACTGCAGTTATGGTCAGGGAGATATTGTTACATCAAATCGGCGATAGACTTTTATTTGGTTACGAGTTATGTAAATGTTATAAATTTATTTTATTTTATTTAATGTGTACCTACTTCTAGAAGTAGGTACCTACTCCTCAAACTGAGTAACAGATCTTATCTTCCTCATATCAATGTTTTATCCTAGTAGATATCACTTAACATTATTTGTATTCTTTGCATAATATACCCATTACTTGTCTTGAGCTAATTTACTACTCCAGTTTACATAGTCTAATAGTAGGTAACTACGGGATCCTACTGCTCGATTCTGCAGCTATCTGTTTGTTTGAACATCCATCGCACAAGGATAAAGATAGTTTTAGTTTAGATTGTAATTACCAAATAATCATAAAAGTTAATGCGACAGTTTAAACGTTTTTTTTCATTTTACAATCAGTAATCAATACTATCAGTTCAGAGTTGGCTATAATATTTAATGAATGTATAGATTGTGGAGTCTTTCCAGACCAGATGAAGATATGTAAAATCACACCGTTATTCAAAACGGGCAGCACTTCGGACCCCACAAATTTTAGACCCATATCTGTGCTGCTCAAATGGCGATGGGCGGGTCACGTAGCGAGGCTAAGCGATAATAGATGGACAAGAGAGACAACACAATGGATAGGCCCACTAGGACAAAGAAAGAGAGGAAGACCAAAAGCACGCTGGGTAGACGACATCACAAAAGTGGCAGGCACTCATTGGTTACGAGCGGCAGAGAACAGAGAATACTGGTCTTCTCTGGAGGAGGCCTTTACCTTTCATGGAGAGGGTTCTTGCTAAAAAAAACATTAAATTAAGTATTGTTATGAAATTGTAATACTTATAGAAAGCAAGAAATAAAAGGCTTTTTATTTTTATTTATTTATTTATCTGTGCTGCCGGCTTTGAGTAAAATCTTTGAAAAAATCATTCTTGAACAATTATTGATACATTTTAATAATAATAAACTTATGCATAGCCAGCAGTATGGTTTTACAAGAGGTCGCTCCACAGCAGATGCTCGCATTCAATTAATTTCCGAGATTTTAAATGCTTGGGAAAATTCTCATGATGCCATTGGAGTTTTTTGCGACTTATCAAAGGCTTTTGGATCACGAAATCCTAATCAAAAAAACTTCAACACTATGGCATTGGCGAAAAAGCGCTAAATCTTATGGAATCATACCTGAGCGATAGAATTCAAAAGGTAAATGTAATTGGAGCTATATCACAGGGATCCTCTGTTACTATGGGAGTACCGCAAGGCTCCATACTTGGTCCCTTCTTATTCCTCGTCTATATAAATGACCTACCATTTCTTGTAAAGGAGCTTCACGAGATAGTACTGTTTGCTGATGACACTTCGCTTTTATTTAAAGTGAAACGACAAAATCCATCACTTGATAACGTAAACAGTGCCATCTCCAGTGTACTGGTTTAATACAAATAATCTTAAGCTAAACGAAAAGAAGACAAAATGTGTTAAATTTGTAACTACAAATGTAAAAAGTAGTCATTCTCAAATAATAATTAAAGACGAGGAAATAGACTTTGTTGATAATGCGGTGTTCTTGGGAATTACTTTAGATAGTAAACTCCAGTGGGGCCGACACATAGAAGGTCTTTCGAATAGGCTAAGTTCCGCAGCGTTCGCAGTAAAAAAGATACGCCATCTTACGGATGAGAACACAGCAAAGCTTGTTTATTTCAGCTATTTTCATAGTATTATGTCATATGGTGTTATTTTGTGGGGCAATGCAGCTGACATTAAATCGGTATTTGTAGTGCAAAAGCGGGCTATAAGAGCGATCTGTGGGTTGTCCCCACGGGAGTCGGTCCGAAAGAAGTTTAAGGAATTACATATTTTGACTCTGGCAAGTCAAAACATTTATGAGAATATTTTGTATGGGCGGAAAAATATAGATATTTTTAAAAAGAATAGTAGCTTCCATAATTATAGTACTCGTAATAAAGACAAAATTAGCGCACCAACCAGAAGGCTGCATTAAACGAGTAATTCTTTCCAAGGCAATTGTATACGTTTTTTCAATAAAATCCCTAGTGAGATACAAGTGTTGTCAATAAATAAATTTAAGTCGTACATTAAAGTAAAACTGCTTGCTAAGGCATATTATATAAATGAATATTTAAACGATCCTAGTGCTTGGATATAAGTTGCTCCAGTATAAATAGGTAACGCGACTGAATCTCTCGGCTGCTTTTCCAGACTCCAGGGCGATCGTCAACATCCTCGACTGTATTAATATAAAGTGGGAACAGACCGTGATCCATGTGGTATCAAATTATTTCAGTATTATTATTATTTTCTTATGTAGCCAAGTCCACATTTCAAGGATCGTCATGCTCGCTTAAATGTCATTGCTTGTGGCGGCGTCCATGCGTCGGGTTGTCTCTCTCCCTAAAATATGGCGATTGCTGGCCATGCGTCATACTCGTGAACGGGTGCTACTTGTGTAAAAAAACATGGCGATTAAAAAGAGTGGCGGAGAGTTTATTGCCAGTTCTTCTCTTCCGTTCTACGCCCTTGATTTGAGAACTGGCAGTAAATGTAAAATTAGAAGCATTAATATGTATTTCTTGAATAAATGATTTTTTCACGTGTGGCTCATAGAAGTATGCGTCGGCCGTCGAACGAGTTATCTTGCATTACCTAAAATACGAACG